TCACCAAACTATCACTAGCTCAAGCCTACATGGAGGCACCTCTTACACCTGCCTTAGGGTCTTAAGTCAGCTCATAAAGCAAAAATTGCAAATGAGCAAAATTACCCCTGAAAATTCTTTATATTGCCCATAAAAATAGTAAGAATTATGTATATACAATCCTGAATAGTAAATGCACCTATAAAAACATAATTGTATAAAATACTAGTACCATGTAATTTATAATAAAGAGCACAAATGAAATATACAATGCCATAATTGACATTTTTAATTTCATGAAAAAGGGAGCACTTACAGTTAAGTTAAATGCAAATATGTTGTGACTCCACTGTGTCCAACTGCACATCTATGCCTGAATCTACAACCATTTCAAACTCAACATATCCAAAATGGGATCTATTATTCCCACTGCCCAAACCAGCTCAAAATGTACTCATGCTTTTATACTCAATACCTGTTAATTGTTTTACCATACTATATTATATTTATTCCAAGACTCAGCTATGTGCATTACTGCCCACAAAACAATTCTCATGTCATTTCCTTATGAAAGACATTTACTGCCCTCTCTTTGTCTAAATCCAAATGCCTTTGAATTCTGACCCCAACTAACATCTCCAATCTCACCTTCTACAATTGCTCTTTTCTCTAAATATCAGAAACAATGTATTCCCTACCATTCCCGTGCCTTTGTATGGGCTGTTCTCTCTACCAGGAAATACTATTTTTTTCTGTGAAATCCTTACCAATTTTCAATAACAGTAACTAATTTATTCCTGTTTATGTGCCTCTGGAGCACTCAGTCAAATCTCAATTATAAAGCCTACCATATAATGGAATTATTTACATGTTTATCTTCACCATTAGATTATAAAAATAAATTATATCATTCAAATTTTATATCATTAATGAGTTTAAAAACCCAAACAGCAGAAACATTACTTCTATCAATCAAATATTAAACGTATTTACATGTAAGAAAAACAGAAAATGTGCAAATTACTAGTTTACAACAGAAAATAAATACAAACCTCCCACTGAGTAATCACATTTTTCAGCTTCTGGATTTCAACATCTTTCCTTTCAAGTTCCAACTTTAGTCTTTCAATTCTTCCATCTTTCAGAACTACTTCCTAAAGAGAGAAAAACACTACTTTAGAACAAAGATAGTCTGACAACTCTGGTTCACAATATTCCTTTGTGAAAAATTTAAGAGGAACACAAATCCCAGTTTTCCCGATTTTAATTCATTTTCTACAGCAAACTTTTAAACTGTTGGCTTATTTCCGCTTCTACTCAATGATATAATTGTAGTTATGTACACTGCAAGCAAATAAGGTATTTATGATTAATCTCAAACTACAAACAATATCAGGACTTTGAAATGATAATCCTATGAATAAACATATTAAAAGTGCTCGGAGGGCCGGCCATGTGGCTCGTTAGTTAAGGGTTGGCTTGGGAGCGCCGGCTCTGAACAGCAGGGCCGCAGTTCGGATCCCACATGAGGACCAGTGAC